TCATGGTATACGTACCATAGCTTTCAGCACTCACACGTCTAATGTATGAGTGCTGAAAGTTGTGAAACATTCGCAACGCGAACTGCGGCGTTAAAACAGCAGTTAACAAGCAAAACAAGTCAAAATCCATTACTCGGAACATTTGTTAGCTTGACCTGTGGGAAGTGAATTTTTCCCAGAATCGCCTCCAGGGGCCACATCGGCATTGCAAGGGATGACATAAAGGATCCATCCTACCTGCGATTAGAATTATGATTGGTAAACATCAGTGGACATCTGTGAAGGCTCGATAAACCAAATATTCTACTCTCAGCCCTCATTCATTTCCTTCTCCCTTACACAAAATTTTCACTCTACAACATTGCACAAAATTTTCACTCTAGCACAGCCATTTGAACCATGAATTTTCCATATCCGTTCCACGTTCTCGACGATCAAAGCACATCATTATCCTTCGCAACTTCGCAAGATTTTCTTCAGGGGAATAGAGCAATTCCAAGGCAATGCGACTTTTTGTGCTCCTCAGTATCATTGGTATGGCGGCCGGTCAGTACACATCGCAAACCTATCCAGATCCACGACTGGATCCGCTCACGTGTCGGCTACCTTTCGCCAGCAACGTCTGTGACCCGTCCGCCGTGCTTGCAGATGAAGATCGTGTACGCCTCATGCAAAAGATCAACCAGGTATGTTTTGCATAACTGGTGAAGGATAAAGGACAAATTGATGGGAAGAGGGCAGTTTTACTACTGCATTAGGTGACCTTGGAAAAATTAGATATGTAGAGAAAGACAGGATAACAAAATTATTCGGAAAAATAGAATTGTTTGCAGTTCCGACCAATCACTTCTGGCATTCGCAATACATCACCAGCTTGTGCATTTCAACCGGAGCGAAACCTCGACGTAAGTTTGGCTTTTATGCTCAATGGGCTGAAAGGATAAAGCACGAGGCATCTCTTCTGGATGCACTGCGCATATGCTTCCATTCAAATTTTTACGTATTTTGCTGACTATGTAAAAAAATCTACAGTAATCTGCGAGGACATATGATGAAGGAAAAAGGCTAATGACTGGCCGTTTTTCTGACATGTCGAATGCTATCAGTTTGTTTTCAGATCTTCTTAGTGATTATGGACAAAATTGGAAGCGTACCCGGAGCACCTGTAGATATCGAGAAATTCGCCAACAACCTCAAAAGACGTTTCCAGAATTATCAGGTAAAAAGTGCCATTCGCTTGAATTTCTTGCAAAAGATCCCGTTTTTTATTAAGAGAATTGATCTGAAAATTCCCCGAAACTATCCTTAACATTTACAGATGAGTAAATATCGGGTTCAAGCTCGAAAAGTTCATGAAAGGGAACCGAAAGGTTTTCTTGGTTTACAAAAGAGGTGATACCTTTGCTATCTCTCCATGATTCACTTCTTATTTCGAAAAATCTTAGAAGCTCTTCTCAGTAGCGGATTCTGGTCATCAGTAGGCCAAGATTGCGGAACAGCTTTGAGTCATTCTAATCTGTAGTGACTGCATTCTCTCAGAGGTATTTTATTGTAGCCCTTACTCCAAGAAGAATTCCACGATAAGGTCGGAGGTTAAAAAAGCGAAAATATCCCAAGTCGAAAGGCAGGCGGTCTATCTGAGGGTGCGAACTATGCGCATTCGCATCAAAGTTGCTTACAAGGGAAGGATGGTAGGTCGAAGTGGCCGTTCGAAATGAAATGTATACCACCTGATGCGTCTCCAGACGCTGATTCCAAATCTGCCTTCCAAATCTGCTAAACGACTCTCCGAACGGAGTTATGAAGCGTAATAGCTCAGTGGTGATGGTCCGGGGTGGCAGGTAAAAGCTCGTAGGATCGGTTCCTTTGCAAATTGGTTGCTTTGCTTTTGTCTCTAGAAGTGTTGCGGACAAAAGCAAAGCAACAAACTTGCAAAGGAACCGATCCTACGAGCTTTTACCTGCCACCCCGGACCATCACCACTGAGCTATTACGCTTCATAACTCCGTTCGGAGAGTCGTTTAGCAGATTTGGAAGGCAGATTTGGAATCAGCGTCTGGAGACGCATCAGGAGGTATACATTTCATTTCGAACGGCCACTTCGACCTACCATCCTTCCCTTGTAAGAATACTTGCCCCCGGCTCGCAGCTGCCAAGCCATCCACGCGCCCTCGCCTTGGGGCCAGGGTCAAACCGTCACGTTCGAACATTTTCGGGATTTTTGCGACCCCCTAGCTCTCGAGGGGGTCCAGTTGCGACCCCTGTTTTTGTAATAAGAGTGCTAGACATGAATCCGTTGCGTCTGCGCCGCCGCCGCAGAAAGCGTCTGCGTTGCGGCGTCAGCCTTGGAGCGCGGCAGGTATCACCCGGGCGCTGGAAGAACGGGACGCGGCGAAGAAAAAATTTTAGAGGGGAATAACTTTCTTGGGACGTATTTTTTTGACTTGTTGAGGTAGATTTTGATTGTGCCTGAGGTGCGCTTCCAGAAAACTACAAGGATTGCCTAACTCTCCGGAAAGTACTTCTGTTAGAAGTGGAAAACCCAAAATTCTAAGAAGGCGCACCTTCAACTTTGAAGGCCCATAAAATCTTTCGTATGCGACATTTGGAAATCTGTCAAAAGTTTCAGAAACTTCAAATATTTCTCTATCAAACAGTATAAAAAGTTTAGTGATTGACCCCTTTTTCAAAAAATTGTCCCGTTCGAACATTTTTCGTGCAAAAGCGAGTTTTTGGGCTTTCAGCGGGCATAACTCACTTCATTTTCATTTCTGAGATGCACTTTTTTCATGGGGTGAAAGTACAGGATTTGCTCTTTCTGACAAGCACCAAACCGTTTTTCAAAATCCATTTTCCGAGAAAATCACACGTTCGAACATTTTGTTCCCATAGGTTTTTGAGCAGCACATGCGAGTTTTTGAGCTTTCAGCAATAATAACTTCCTTCAAAGAACTTGTTGGGGAGGGGCGAAGACATTTTTGAAGACTACGAGATTTCGCTTACTCATGTGTATTACAGTTCTCTAGAAGAAGCGCCCAAAAAATTAGGTCTTTGAAGAACTTTATTTTCAGCCCCGAGAAGTCAAACCTTTCATAAGGATGCATTCAACACTTCTTTACTGCGTAGGAAAACACCGTAATTTGCCTAAAACTGTCTCTCTGTGCATAATAAATCGAATCTAATGCGGTCTGCACAAGCAATTCTTGCCCTCGGATACGCCACGCACGCGCCTGTGGCTGGCAGTCCTCGAAATTGCGACCCCCTTCCGACCAAAATGCGACCCCTTCGTTCGAACAGTTCGAACGGACGGTTGACCCTGCGGTGTGATGAACTCTGGCAGCTTAGCAGGAGCGAAAGGATAACGTTTAGAAAGGCAAGCCAATTGATGGGTCGCGATCATGCGGAGATCAGCGTGCGACTCAGGGTCTCGAGTTTTTGGTTCTGTGTCCATTTTCCTTTAGTTTATTCTTCATGCCATTAGAGCCTCCTTGTTTGTCATAGATTCTTGCACCATCCCAAATTATTCCCTGTAACATTTGCTCACGAATTCGAAGATAAGGAGCTGATGTTCCCGCGAAGGCATGAATTGAAGAAGATATGAGTGAAAACGGCTACAAGTATGATAACATCCCATTTACTCACATTTCGTGATGTCAGATCAGGCACAAATCATCCCTGCCTTGAGGAGAGGTTATTGCGAGATTTGCTTGAAAAGAAGGATTACTGCTTCGGAGAATGGAACAATGGCTAGCCTTCGCAACAATTCTATGAACCAAAGTGCATCTACGATTTTCAATGAATGCTTGTATATTAGCTTATGGTTAGTATAACGAGGTCTATCCACATCTTGGATTTTGGCTACTTCTCGTCGTGGTCATACCTCCAATATTCGTCTTTCGGACTCTCGTTTGTGTTTCCTATTAAAATGAACGTATTGAAGCTCAGAAATGTCTTCGTCCCGACTTAGCTGAATTTCCTATCCGATTTCCTGACAAACCTATCGTTGTCCTGCGAAGAGGACTAGCGCTCTCTGAGAATGAGTGGCACGGAAAGTTGGTTGCCGATGAAAATCAAAGGTAGAGGTAGTAAAGGTGCAGTGATGAAGAAGAACTGAGGAAAATCTAAAATCTGCTGACCATGAGTGAGGCCATGGTTTCTCGGTTTGGGCGAGTCACATCGGTGCTGACGTCATCGACGTAGCTGCTCCGTTCTTCGTCTCTGCTGACAATAAAACGAATCGACAATGACGGCAAGGAAACAGAACTGGGATAGCCTATCGGTGGGCAGGCAGAGAGACATGGCGTCAAAAAAAGGGGGGGGGGGCGCAAACGCGCCAAGTCCGCGTTTGGTGCACAAAAATGATTGTTTACAAAAATAGAGCATTCATTTTCACATCTGTTGATGGTAAGTGGTTGAGAGAGATTCTTCCGATTTCTTACAGAGAAACGATATAGACATAGAGATATAGATGGCTAGTTGATTTATAAAAAGTATTTTTGGTCCTGTTCGGAGGTTTTACACGGAAATTTTTGAGTGCAGCATCTCTAGATTTCATAAACGATAATTCTTTGCTCTTATCATTTTTGTGTTAACTATATGCTAGTTTAGGACGTGTCCAGCTGCGAT